ATTAATTTACGCAACATTCTACAATAGTAACTTGTGGTTCAGTTGGCAAGAAGTAATGTTGTATCTTGTTTCAATCAAAGCCACTCGGGTTCGATTCTAGGCTCCACCTTTATAATCTATTTGTTAAAGTTAGTAGTGTCTTTGATTTCTTGAAGCAATATCTTACTTTAAGAGGGTGTTTGGCTTACCTTTTAAAATGACTTTTACTTTATCTTTTGGAAAAAGTCCAAAAAGATGTTTGGTAAGGTAAAAATGACTTTTATAAATGACTTTTTCCATAGAGTATTTTTGTAGTGACATAAGAACATGGTTTGGCATGCGGAATTAAAGCTTGCACAATTGAACATGGTGATTTGGGTGTTTAAGAGATATACTGAATGTATATGGTGTTACACAAAAAGGATCTAGATCTAGACTACATAAATAACACATACTTACACACTCACTTTTACATCTCTCAAGCACACCTCTACAAGTGGTATGAACCCACTATTTATAGAGGTGTTTACATGTCTCTCTCTCACTCTAACTAACAAATGGGTCTAAAGGCTAAAGCACCACATGCAAGTGGGTTTTACAAAAGTCAAACATTTACAAAGTCATGAATGAATAACTTTGCACCCCAACATTCTCCCCCTCAAAGTTAGGAATGAATGACCCACTTCAAATCTTCCAAAATCAAGCACTACGCGGTTCGAGCCTCAAAGGTGACACATGTCGAAACGAACTTCAATCTTCAATTCTTCCATGACTCTTCAATTTGGGCTCTAGGATGTGAGATCATACAATCCGAGCAGCAACGAATGATCAAGAGTATTCCAAACTCCAAATAATCACCCAAAGTTGCGCATAAAAACACACCCCAAAAATCTTCAATAATTCCAAACCCATTTCGAATACATCACTTCCGAACTTCCAATTGCATCATCTCGTAGACTTCAAAACTTCAAGATCACTTCGGTCTTCAAATCCGCGTAATATGAAAAATTCAAGTTCGAATTTCCATATAAAACTTCTCCCCCTTTTTATAATCGAAATTTGATTATAAAACTCCATGGAAAAAGAACGTGCTCTATTCGTAATTTTTCATGTCAAAACTCCCCCTTAACACGTGGCATAAACTTTGTACTTCAATCCGGAAAATCCAAAAAATATTGAATTTTTAGCTTCGTTCACGGATCGCCTTTGACAAAATTTCTCAAAAATGGGTAGATATTGTCAATTTCAAAATTCTGCAGTGACTCGTTGCGCCAAAAACAGTCAAATATGCGAAACACACTCCCATTTGCGAAACTGGGTAAAATGTGTAAATTCGCACAAACTGCAAGGACCAAATTTGAAAATTCTGCAATTTCAGCATTTTATGACCCCATTTGCGAAGTTGGGTATAAACTGTCAAAAATGAGAAACTACAGGTACTCGTTTTGACAATTTCTGCATGTTCTTCAAACTTGTGAAGTTGGGCAACTTGTGTTATTTCTTGAAAAGAGCAGGGGCCAAATGTGAAACTCTTAGCTTTCTTCCCCAATTCGCATTTTACTGTAAAAGACTTCGCATCTTGTTAATACTTCGCATGTTTCATCAAATGTTTCGCATCTTTAAATCACCAAATGCGAATCCAGAGTTAGCTCTTTAACCAAATGAAAAATATTGAGACCCAAATGCGAACTTAATAGAACTTCAAATCTTCACAGATTGCGAACGAACTTCCAAATTGCGAACCATATCACAACCTGCGAACCATTTTGAGATCCAATTCACGTCTTTGGAAATTAAACAATTGCATTTTTCTTGACTTTCAAACCGGTTCATTTCTTTCATTTTCTGTATCTTCGTTCCACATCAAGATCATAAATGCGAACTATCATCCATTGATGCGAAAGCCGACTCCATAAATCCTAGGAATGGCAACGGGGTGGGTTCGGGGCGGGGCGGCATATCCCATACCCGAACCCGATATTTATATTTGTCCCCGAACCCGACCCGAAACCCGACGGGTTTCTTATCGGGGCGCCCCGTCGGGGCTAAAAATATCCCCGAACCCGACCTGAAACCCGAAATCCGACCCGAAAATGGTGGCAGAAAAAATTAGGAAAACTACAATGAAACAATTGAGAAATTAAAACCTTACAAATGCTTAAAATACAAATAAGTTCTTAACATAAGTGAACCAAATAGAAATTACTAAAGTCTAATATCGTAACTAAATTCATCACAATAGTGAGAAATTGGGAATACGTGATGAGATTGAAGGTTAGAGTCTTCGGGTGGCTGAAATGGGTTAGAGGGATGAAATCTCATTTTATATATATATATATATATATATATATATATATATATATATAATTTTTCGGGTCGGGGCGGGTCGGGGCATGCATACCCCACTCCCTGACCCGAACCCGAACTAAAAACCCGATAATGACCCGAAACCCGATCCGAAACCCGATAAGAGTGACCCGACCCGCCCCAAAATCTTCGGGGTTCGGGTTTTCTTGTCGGGTTCGGATTTTTTTGCCATCCCTAATAAATCCCACAACGAACTCCAATTTAGACATCGACACATCAAAACATAATTTCTTACCAAGTCGATCTTTCCCAGTTCGTTCCTAACTATCGATTCGCAACTCCAAATCATCAATCGACAACACCAACTTCGAAATTAGACTCAAATCAGGCTAGATTTTGATTCTTTCAACTCCAAAATAACTTGTAACTATTGATTTCAGCGAACAATTCGTTGATTCATCTCTTGAATTCCAACTTTTTCACAGTTTGACTTTTTAGATTCAACAAACCATAAACACAAAATCGACAATTTTAGTGGCGATTTTTAGATCAAAAAGTGATTTTATCATTGTTCTTCACCATATTTAAGTGTTCTTGGTCAAGTTCATCAAAATCAAAAACTCGATTTTACGATTTCTACACTTGAAAATGAATACAATCGATTTTGTAATACAACAAATCTCATATGAAATCGATTTAACAATTCCAAATTATCATCCAACACTAATCGATTAAAAGAAATGAGAAATCAAGAATAAGAACTCAAGAGTAATCGATTAAAGGAACTCATAGTACAACTGAATAAAGCATGCGTAAAAGTCAATTTATGAACATCAGATTTTTAGAGTGAGAACAAATGATGTCGAGTCAAAACAAATATAAGCCGGCATAAGATAAACCGATTATAAACCATATTGGATTGCAATTTGGGCTCAAATCATTTATGAACAGTGACAATCGGAATTTCTGGGCTTTGATTTTAGTTCATGAACAGTAAATGACATGATTTGGGCTCATTGATAAACCGGATGAACAGTATCGGGATCTCAAGATATGAAATGAATCACAATGAATTTTGGACTAGTTATTGATTCAAACGAACACATGCAATTTGAAACTCGAATCGAACAAACGAATATAAAATTGGATATGGCTTTGATCAACAAAAAAAAAATTATTGGATCACAACAAATGGGTTTTTCAAGAAAAATTTGATCCAATGAGTCAAATGATCAAAAATCAAAAACATAACGCACGATTCAAATATTACGAGAGATCATAGAGAGAGACTCACCAAAATTGCTCAAAATTGTGACAAAAATTACCAAACCGAGAATCGTTCTTCAAAAGTCACGTTAATCGTGAAAACCAAGCTTTGATACCAATTGTAGTGACATAAGAACATTGTTTGGCATGCGGAATTAAAGCTTGCACAATTGAACATGGTGATTTGGGTGTTTAAGAGATATATGGAATGTATATGGTGTTACACAAAAAGGATCTAGATCTAGACTACATAAATAACACACACTTACACACTCACTTTTACATCTCTCAAGCACACCTCTACAAGTGGTATGAACCCACTATTTATAGAGGTGTTTACATGTCTCTCTCTCACTCTAACTAACAAATGGGTCTAAAGGCTAAAGCACCACATGCAAGTGGGTTTTACAAAAGTCAAACATTTACAAAGTCATGAATGAATAACTTTGCACCCCAACAATTTTGAGACTTTTTGAAAAGTCACGTATACCTGACTTTTCCTAACTTTTCAGCAGCTAAAAATTAGAAATTACCAATATACCCTTACCTACCCTAATTAACGTCATTCACATTTATTCACGTATCACAGTTTCTTCTTGTTCTCTCCGCTCACGCACTCCCTCTCGCCGACCGCATCTTGGAGACCTGCAACAAACACCGGCGACGCCGGCGACCTGCAACACCGGCGACCGGCAACACCGCGCAAACTGCAACCCTGCGAGCGATCAAGTTTGTTACTTTTCACTTTGATTTTCCGATCTCAGATGTGATTTCCGATATCAGATTTGCAATCTCTTCCTATGTATTTCCGATTTCCATTTGATTTCCGATCTATGATGTTACATTTGATTTCCAATTTCTGATTTCCATTTGATTTCTGATTTCCATTTGATTTCCGATTTCTGAAATTGATATTATGTAATTGATTTGCTGTGAAAATAATGTGCTGTAAAATAATTGATATGCTGTGAAATTGATTTGCTGTGAAATTGCTTTTTTGTTCTTCTCTCTAGCCTCTGAAATAATTGATATGCTGTGAAATTGATTTGCTGTGAAATTTGCTCCTTCCGATTTCAAATTTTCCTTGAATTGTTCTTCTCTATAGCATCTAAAATAGTGATTTGTTCTTCCTGATTTCTGAAATATGCTGTGAAATAGTGATTATTTTGTGAACTTGATGAAAAATGAATTAACAATTAATGAAATTGATGAAATATGAAGCTGATGAAATTTTTTGTTCATGGATTATATTTGTGTTAACAGATGATTGTTTTGTGAAATTGATATGTTGTGATAATCTATTTTTTCTATTTTGATTAGAATTTTGATAAAATAATGAAATCATTTAGAAAGGTTAATGAAATTGGTTTGTTGCTTAAATATTAATATTATATGTATTCACAGATAATGGATTAAAACAACACTACACTTGTTGATTGTGAAACATCTTTAAAAATGAAAAAACCAAAATTTGGGTGGGATAATCGTAGCTTCATGGTGTTTGTTGATTCGTGCTTGATTGAAAAAAAAAAGGTCGTAAACCCACTTCCTCCTTTGATAAAATTGGGTGGGAAAATATACAAAGACGTATTAAGGAGAAAACAGGTTATAGCCTTGAAAAAAACAACTAACAAACAAATGGGAGAACATAAAAAAAGAGTGGAAGCTTTATGACCGCTTAATGAGGCTTAAAACCGGACTCGGTGGGACGAGAAGCCTAGTAGATGCGTCCCCCGAGTGGTGGGAGGAGAAAATAAGGGTATGATTACTATTTTTTTTTTTAATTATTTTAAGTTATGATTGCATATAGATTGAACATATTTGATTTACAATATCTTTTTGTCTTGTAGGAGAATAAAGATTATGCCAAATTTAGGAACAGAGATTTGAGCATATTTGATGAGAAATATGCTATTTTGTTTCAGGATTCTGTTACCGTTGGAGATCAGACTATGACTCCATTACAATTTCAAAACAATAGCAATCAAAACGAAGAAAATATGGAGGGCAAAGGAGATAATGATGAAATCAATTTGGATGATGATGAGCCTCTTTTTACTAGTCTCCATGAAAGTAGTTCAAGTAAAAGGAAGAGGCTAAGTCTGTTTCCAACAACCGTCCAACCAAGAGTAAAAATTCAATTTATGAAGAAAAAGTTGATGCTTTATTGGATGCCATATCATCAAAAAGCACACAAACTTATCCACAAAATAATCCATCCCCAACAATAGCAGATTGCATGGCCATTGTCATCAAGTTCCTCGATTTTCGTAAAGGGTCCAACAATTTTTCACAAGCCTTGTTTGTCTTCACCAAAAAGCAAAACCGTGAAGCTTTTATGTTCCCAACAACCGACGAAGCCAAGATGGAGTTTCTTAAGCTACTTATGAAATAATGATTTAGCTATATGTGTTATGATTTGACATTTATGTGTTATCCTTTGACAATATGTGATATGCTTTGACATTATGTGTTGTCCTTTGACATTATGTATTTGACATTTTATATTATGTGTTATTGTTTGACTTTATGTTATGTGTTAATGGTTGACATCATTTTATTTGTATTATGTAGGATGGATAGTGATGATTCTAATTCATCGAATGATAATGAAGAATGTGTAATGGAAGAGGATAGAGAATTTGAAATGTTATGTGGATTAGCTTTGAAAGGGATAATACTCGCTCGTAACTTACGTACACCATGTCACACTTCAGATCACACAGGGCACATGTTTGTTACAGAAGTACTAAATGGCCATCCTAGACGTTGTTATGAGATGTTTAGACTCAACGTACCGGTTTTTAGACAGTTATGCTTAGATCTTGCTACAAATTACGGGTTATAACAAACCCGAAAAGTATCTATAGAGGAGTCTGTAGGAATATTCTCGATGACTTTGGCGCATGGGTGTAGCAATAGATTTGTGCAAGAATTTTTTAATCATTCAGGGGAAACGATTCACAGGCATTTTCATACAGTTTTGGAAGCCATGCTAAAACTGAGTGACGACATCATCAAGCCAGACGCAAACTATAATGATCATGTTCCCAAATATATATTAAATAACCCTCGGTATTATCCAATGTTCAAGGTATTATCCAATGTTTATTTTCTTGGTAGTCAAACTTTAACAAATAATTTATTTATTATATATTTTTGAATTTGAAGGATTGCATTGGTGCCATAGATGGGACACACGTTAGGGCATCGGTTCCACAAAAAGATGAAGTGAAGTACATTGGTCGAAAGGGATATGCAACACAAAATATAATGGATGTTTGTGATTTTAACATGTGCTTTACATTTGTTTGGGCCGGTTGGGAGGGGACTGCACACGATACAAGAATTTTCAATGAAGCCTTACAGAGACCAGATCTTAATTTTCCCTATCCAACGGGTGGTTAGTATTTTTTCTTTTTTTTGGAATACAAGTTTTATGTTTTTACTACTTGTTTGAAACAGATAATAAATGTTTGTTTTATTTACAGATAAATATTACGTTGTTGATGCTGGATATCCAAATACGAGAGGGTATCTTGCTCCATACAAAGGCTCTAATATTCGTTATCATTTACCAAATTTTCGACGTGGACACACGACTGCTATTCGTGAACCTCGTGGACCGAAAGAGAAATTTAACTATCTCCATTCATCATTGCGAAATATCATTGAACGAACTTTTGGAGTGTAGAAAGCTAGGTGGGTGTTATTAAGAGACATGCATGTTAATTACAAGTACAAGAACCAAGTGAAAATTGTGATAGCATTGATGGCGATCCATAACTACATTAGAAAGGTTGGTAGGTTTGATGAAGCGTTTAATAAGGCACAACAAGAATCCTACAATCCTGTACGAGGTGATACCGGCAGTGATGTTTATGAAGAAGGTCCAAGTACACGTCGCACGAGCAATGATGATCTATATATGGCAGCGAGACGGGATATTATTGCACAAGATATAATCACATTACGTAGATGAATGTGATATTATCTATGATATTTTTTATGAATTATTTACAATTGTATGAACGTAATTTTAATATTGTCATGGTCTAATCCAAAAAATTAGAAATATTTTAATTTGTATGAACGTAATTTATATTTTACATTTGTATGAACGTAATTCTAATATTGTCATGCTCTAATACAAAAAGTCCTTTTATGAATTATTACAATTTGTATGAAGGTACTAATTTTAATATTTTCATGGTATAATCTAAAAAATTAGAAATATTTTAAAAGAAATTTACATTTTATATTTTCTAATAAAATGTTTATAAAATTATAATATGTGTTTAAAAAAAAATTAAGTATAAAATAATATATGTAAAGTAGTAAATCAATGTAAGTATGTAAACATGTCCTTTTTTTTATCATTTTACATATAAAAGTTAAACCAAACACTTTAACTTTTGATTTTTCTCTTCAAAAGTTAATCCAAACACATTTTAAAAAAGACATCCTACTTAGTATTTAGATTAGAAATTTAGAATCAACATATTAGTCAAGTAGGTCGGCCCCAACTTATCACAACAATTAATTGACAACATCACCTAAGTATTTTATTACATAAAAAATTCGCAATTAAATGATTTGAGTTTATTAGTTTAATTAAATTTGTAGCGATTATTTATTTCTTTCTATTAACAATTCACGCATTATGAATATTAGTATAACTATGTAAGATAATCTATTGAACCATCGTTTTTTTTAATAATAATATTTGACAATTTAATATTAAATATATATATATATATATATATATATATATATATATATATATATATATATATATATATATATATAGGTTCATGTGAGACGGCCTAATTTTGTGAGACCGTGAGACGTATTTTTTTATTTTTTTTTTATTGTTTTTAGTTAATTCAAGTTCCGAAAATAATATTTTAAAAAAGAATTTTTTGATTTTTCCATTTATTTTGCATTTTAAAATTATTTTTAGAATATGTACAGTGTAATATTCTATTTAAAATATTTCACGTATTTTTCAAAAAAATAGGATTTATTTATTTATTTTAGTTAATTCAGGTTCCGAAAATAATATTTAAAAAAAGAATTTTTAGATTTTTCCATTTATTTTGCATTTTAAAATTATTTTTTAGAATATGTCAGTGTAATATTCTATTTAGAATGTTTCACGTATTTTTCAAAAAAAAAAAACGGGATTTTATTTTATTTTATTTTTATTTTTTTAGTTAATTCAAGTTCCGAAAATAATATTAAAAAAAAGATTTTTTTGGATTTCTCCATTTATTTTGCATTTTAAAATTATTTTTAGATTTGGTCTCACGGTCTCATAAAATTAGAATGGTCTCAAATGAACCTAAACCTGTATATATATATATATATATATATATATATATATATATATATATATATATATATATATATATATATATATATATATAAAATACATAGAGGCCCAATATTATTTTGCGCACCAGGCCCTCAAAATCAGCGGACCGACCCTGGACGGAGTGTAAAACTATTAATTGTCTGAAAATAGTCAATACTTCACGAGGCCACCATTAAATTTAGGCATCTCGGTATGCATACCACGAGAGGGTTTCATGCCACCTTGGCACTTCTAAAGTTTTTGGATTTTCTTGGAAAAAGTTGGGAACATCACGCTAATGTTCTTAAGAATGGTGAAAAGTCGAGACGGTTTCGTGGTGATATAAGTGTTACCCTGCGTTCTTTTCACCAAGAGATGCAACGATCAATCAGAGTATGGTAAATCCAACTCTCTCACTCTCTCTTCTTTTCACTTATAGCTTTCTTCTTTATGATTGTTAGTAGTACACCAGCTTTGGTGTTCTTTTCACCGAGAGCTTAGTGAGTTACCCCCCAAAATACCGATACACATACAGTCCACATAACCATGTCACACCATAACATATCATAACAAACTGAGCAGAACAACACAAAACGGGTCCACAACTTAACAGACTGGAATACCCCTGGGCCCACAGTGTGAGTTTGGAATGCCTACCGGGCCCTCAGCTCACATCTGGATTGCCACCGAGCCCTCAATACGAGCCTGGAAAGCCGACCGGGCACTCATCTCGTATCTGGAATGCTCCCAAGTCCTCAGTATGAGTCTGGAATGCCTACCGGGCCCTCAGCTCATATATGGAATACTCTAGGGTTTGTTGGCTACCACACGGAGCAGTACAACCTCAACCCATCCCACATAACATATCAACATGTAACAGATAATGCACATACAGGCAATCAATCAGTATCACAGGTAGTCCTACAGACCTACCCTCTAACATTTCAACTAGCATGCATAACTAACTCATACTCAACATAATACAACTACTAGGATATCATATCCAATGGGCCGACCTTGGTGCCTTAGACCCCTTAGTATAGTGAGGATAACTCACCTCGCAACTGTCGTCGGAAATAAGAAAGCTCAACTCCCGGGTCCAACACGAACTCCACCACCTATATGTACCATACAACCTTTTTCATAAATCTCCCAATTACCAGAAACCAACAGGATCCAACTGGTCAACCCTTGGTCCAAGTCAAAGTCCACAGTCAGAGTCAACAGTCTATGTTGACTCGACTCGCCGAGTGCAGATCACTAACTCGTCGAGTTCTTCCTGAATTCGAGAAGTCATGAAATCCTTGATTGGCTCTTCGAGGTTCCCTTTTTAACTCTTCGAGCTCATACGTGGCCAAGATTTGGAAGAAACCCTAGCCAACTCACCGAGTTCAAGGCAATCTTCAACGAACTCGCCGAGTTCATGGCCATCTTCATCGGATTCGCCGAGTTTATCATTCAACTCGTCGAGTCCTTGCAGTTCTTAATCCATGCAGATGCTTTTTAAGCCATGGCAAGGTCCCAGATTACAGATCCAAGCTCCTAAGGCATGTTTATCACGTAAAGTTGCAAACTTTACGCACATACAAGGCTTTAAAGGCCCTAAATGATCAACCTAAGCTCTTAATGGAGTTTTACACCTTGGGAGAGTCTCATCCATGAACAAGCTGGGAACTTTATGAATCTAGAGGTCAAGGGAAGTCCAAATCTAAAGTTACAACTTCAAATCTTAGCTTAAACATAGAGAGCCCTTCAGAACACCCATCCAAGAGAGGTTAAAAGAGAAATGAGCTTAAGGAACAACCTAATACCTTCCAAAGAGTGATGACTGAGGAATTCCTTAGCTTCCCACGAGTTCCTGGCCTTGCTTTTCCTTGCTACCCCAAGTGTTTCCTTCTCCAAGGTTACTCCTCCAAGCTTGAACACACCAAAGAACACACACACACACACGATTTAGGGTTTGAGAGGGACAAGAAGCAGTAAGGGGATGCTGGTGGAGGACAATGATCCTTTAAATAGGGTGTAAAACCCCCAGAATTTAGGGTTTCATCTGCCAACTCCTACTCGCCGAGTCCCTTAGTGGACTCGCCGAGTAGGTCACTAAACAAGCGTTCTATTCCCGCTGCTACTCGGCGAGTAGAGCAACCAACTCGCCGAGTAGGTCATAAGGCCAATTATTCTTCATTTGAATTCATACCTGGAATCGGGGCGCTACAATTCTCCCTCACTTGAACTAGACTTCGTACTCGAAGTTTGCTGCGGTGAACAGTCCCGGATAATGCTCTCGCATTTCTGCCTCCGCCTCCCACATCCATTCGGACCCCTTCCGGTGCTCCCATTGTACCTTCACCAAAGGTATTTCCTTGTTCCTTAGTATCTTCACCTTTCTCTCCAGTACGGCTACGAGCCTCTCCACATAATTCAGACGCTCATCGACCTGAATATCATCCAACAACACCACCGCCTCCTGATCCATGATACACTTTCGCAACTGTGAAATGTGGAAAGTGTTGTGTATCCGACTAAGCTCCTCCGGTAGCTCTAGCCTGTAAGCCACCTTGCCAACCTTGGCAATGATCCTGAACGGCCTAATATATCGCAGACCCAATTTTCCCCTCTTCCTGAAGCGGATCACGCCCTTCCAGGGTGAGACCTTCAGGAGTACCATATCCCCCACCTAAAATTCCAACTTGGACCGGCGTTTGTCGGCATAACTCTTCTGTCGACTCTGAGCGGTCTGCAAGCGCTGTCTAACTGTTGGGTTTTGAGCATTCTAATACTCCTAAGTGTAAATGCAACCCTAAATACCTTGGATCTATGTTTTCTCTATTATACATGCAATTATGAACATCCAAGGTATTATTCTAATCTAGCATACAAAATAATGAATATAACAAGATAGAATACATACCTCTTTGATGTAGAATGTCTTCATGAAGCTTGAGTGCCTAGTGCCTCAAGTGTGACACCTCAAATGGTTCACACAACACCAAATACACTTGGAATAACTTGAGAGAATTCTACAACTTATGAAATCGGCTAGCCCTTCTTTTTCCTCACACTAGTGGCCGATTTTGGTGAATAATATGATGCTTATATAGTGTGTTACAATTAGGGTTACACCATGTAAGCCCTAATTGTCATGACCTTTCATTTCCATGACCCATGGGTTATGTAACCTCCATGGAGCATCCATGGAGTATCCTATGGGTTCAACCCAACTAGATAATCCATAGAGCATTAGCCCACTATATAAGTATGGATGATTTACACAATCAACCCATATATTTAATTAGTCTTCTTTTGATCACATAATTAATTCTGGATCAATACTAATT